GCCTGTTCACCATTCGATGTTGATGCATGATTGCGTAGGCAAGAAGAGGACGGTGCACTTCGGTGGGCTCTGCGGGGTCTTCCCAGCAGTTGCGTCCATGGAGGCCTCGAGCATCTTCCGCTTCGCTTTCTGGCTCGGTCGTGTATTAGAACTGGCGGCGCTCTCGGTGGTGTCGATGATGATTGCCTCGGTGTCACTGGAAACGCAGTTCCGCTTCCTTGAGGCTGCCAACACTGACACCAGATAACCGGGTGGGCATGCACGAGAATCCACTTCCATCTCTCGATAAGTAAGGGACTGTATGTTTCCCCTATAATGGTGGAAGTAACAGAAATGTCTGGAGATGAACGGCCAACACTCTGCTACAGAGACACTTCCTGTCTATGTTAACTACCATAGTATTCTCACTACTATGGCATTTTAACTCAATAATACTGCGTAACGGTGTAACGAAATTGGATTTCATACGTGTGCCTTCTTCTGCGTTTATGTAACATAAAATTGTCTAACTTGTTGTCCACCTTTTACTGTTCAGCATTCTGGTGCTCTCCGAGTAATACGGTTGGTATTGACAAATTTCATAAAGATTTCGTTCACGATACGGACACAAGTACGCGTATCATAGTTGTATTTGCCACCTTCATGGATGCATGTTTTTAAAGATGCGGGACTTATGGTGTGTTGCATCATGATTGGCTAAACTGATGCCCTACGAACGATTCCCTAACGTAAGACGTTTCTGTCACTTTGGGTCCAGTTGCCCCATCACACGCAATGCCACTCGTAACCTGCGAAACGGTTGGCTGCCACTCCGTGCCTATAAACACACACGGACACGCGCGCACTCAGAAAAGGACCACTGGCACGCAGGGCAGCTGTCGCATCCCTGCGGAGTGCAGGGCTACCTGGCTATAGGTGTGCGTCTGGGCCGGAAGTGATGCGGCTGTCACCCGGCCATGTCGGGACGTCGCGACACACTGCAACAGTCACACGCGCCCACCATCTGCGCGTTTCTCGAGTCCGTCTTTCGATGTGGCGCGGCAGTGACACCAAACCTGTCGTTCGGTGTCAGCCTCTCTAGAAGGAACAAAGAAAATAGTTTTTGGCGACACACGAACCCCTCACAACGAAGTACACGACCGCGATCAGCACTTCCTAGCACGACGTATCAGTGCTGCAGGAAAGGACGATTCACACTCTGTCGTTCGTTTTATTTGCCTTACTTCAAACAATTGCTCGGCAAACTAGAAGGTTCATGGTTCGCATGAGCGGGCCAGCGGCTTCGAGTTACAGGCCTCCATGGCGGGTGGTCCGGCCAGTCGGTGGAGTGTCTTGCGAGCCGTCGAAATATGACAGCGTGGTTCCCGCGTGTACGTATATGTATGTGGCTTAGATATTGAAGACCACACGGTTTGGTTTTCACGTATACCCGTCGTCCCGTCTGGTATACGGCGTGCATGTATATACAAACGAAGCGTACGCTCTTTTTTTTTTTTGTATCGTATCATTTCGACGTTTCTCGGGTACGTCCACGGCTCCGCACCTTTCTGGCAATCAGGAAAGTGCATATATTTAGCGTGTATATATTTAGGAAAGTGTACTATTTAGGACAACACTAGGATGAGTATCTCTTTTCCATGGCTCTACATCGAGGTTGCTTAGAATGACAGTCACATTGACGCAAATCGGGAGGCTCCGAGAAAGCGACCGTGTTCGGTGACCGTTGCCAATAGGAAGCTTTCGGACCACACACATTATAACTATAGACCTTCTTATTTTTTATTGCTATCGTGCTGAATCCTTTTGTTCTTGCCTCCCTAAAAGGGTTGGCCTAATACAGAAAATTCATTGAAGTTCGGAATGGGGAAGAGAGGAGGGAGGGGCTCACGGTTACGTGGTTGAAACCTATCCTGTTACTTGATTAGACAGTCAGGGTTCAATAAAGCGTAGGACCATGGTCTTCTTCACCAATTTTATTCGAGGACTCGAGTTCAGATGCAACACGGCTTTCCTGGGGGCCTGCCTCGTTCCCAAGTTCGAGGTATGTCACTCACATTAGCCTGTCATTATATTTTTGTCTTTTTCTGGTTAATCTTTATGCCATATGGAAAGGGGGGGGGGGTGATGGACATGCTACATTACCACACATGTGGCCACAGCCGAAAGCGATTGCGAAAATAGCAATTATTTTTTTTAGTATTTACTCTGAAGTGAATCATTACTAGCCCACACCATGGATTCATTACCTGCCGCGGTGGTTCGACTACCGACACGAAGGTCGCCAAGCTTAATCCCTGCCGCGGCGACTGCATTTTCGATGGAATAAAAATGAAATAAGGCCCACGCGCTTAGATTTGGAAATACCTTAAGGAACGCTGCAGATGACGGTCCAAATTTCCGCTGCCCTCCATGACGGTGTCTCTCATAATCATATGATAATTTTAGGACGTTAACAACCTCAACATTTATTGGCAAGCACTTCATTATGTTGCTCGTTCAAGCAAAAAGTAACTCAATTCATGTAATTTCTTTTTGCAAAGTATGGGGCACATGGGAATTAAGCGAAAGGAACCAAAGACAGTGTAGATACCTGATGTCATTGCCACCACCAACGTTGAGTATGGTTTTCTGTGCTCTTGTATGTTTTGCCAGCTTGCCACCGACATGCATACACGAAATCGACCAGACGCTATCTGCAGTTCCGGACAAAAAGGTAAAAAAAAAAAAACTGAATTTCCAAGAGAAAAAGAAAACTAGGAAACAAGTGCCGCAAGGCACTCCAGAGTTCTGATATTTCAGGTTTCGAGAATGTTTTTTCATCAAACTGATAACTTCCATCGATAATGTGAAGTTTACCGTCCCAAAACCACCATTTGATTATGAGAAACGCCGTAGTGGAGGGCTCTGGAAATTTCTACCACCTGGGCTTGTTTAACGTGCACCCGAATCTGAGCACACGAGCCTACAGCACTTTCACCTCCATCGAAAATGCAGCCGCCGCAGCTGGGATTGGATACCGTGACCTCAGGTCAGCACTGCAGTCGAGTGCCTTACCCACTGTACCACCACGGCGGGGCGGCAGCATAACTTGCGTAACTTATGTGGGGCCGAAAGAGTACCTCGACGTCACAACCTACCTATTTTGGCAACGTTTTTTAAGTCTTTGAACATCTTGTGTATAACGTATGATAAGGAGCTTTTCAGCGCGTTCCTTTATTTTATAATTTGCTTGGTTGTCGCATTTGACTAATTTCAGTAGCTTCGGCGCAACTTTGCGCAAGACGGGCTGTGTGAAACTTGCTGTGCTCAACTTTTGTAACAGAATCGAAAGTTGGGCTAGTTGGATATGCATGGTATAACTGCCAGTTCAAGCGCATGAATAAACAGAAAGGAAGAGAGGACAAGCGCTTTTTCGCAACTAAACTGTGCGTCAATGTTCGTCTCCGAGAGCACGATTCTTCTTTGAAATCTTTGGGTGGATCGCACCTCGCGGCTCGTTGCAGACAGTGTGGTTATCCTCTTTTTCAGGATACTGAAGTGGTTTTTTGATCTAAAAATAAGTTAACTCGTGAGTTGACAGAAGCTTTTCACATAAGAAAAAGAGGGGAACAATGCGTCAGCCAGCCTTCGGTTTTGCTGCACGATAAAGAGTTTGCTTTTCTAGATTATGTCTCCGAGATAATCTGTTTTCTTTTACCCTGTGTTCTCGATGTGCCACGGGTGTACTTTTTTGCCTGCACACGCATGCGTTGTGTTATTCAATTGCCTGTATATATATTCTGCCCTTTCTAATAAACAGTTTAGTTGCGAGAAAGCGCTTGTCCTCTCTTCCTTTCTGTTTATTCGTGCGCTTGAACTGACAGTTATACCAACCTTTGTAACTGAGCAGCGCTGGTAGGACGTAATTAGTAATGTAGCTTAATTAGTTTTCAGGCAGGACTAATTTCGTCGTCTGTGACAGAAAGCCAGCGCACACGTGGAATTTCTATCTCGTATTGCTCTACTTTCGTCGTTTTCAGAACTCAAAAAACCAAGTTCTCCAATTTTCCACGAAATAGAGGGTCAAGCTTGAAGCCTTGAAGCGAAGAGTGTCCCGCCGACACCGGGTGGCAAGAGCCTGCGAGTTAGCAGACTCATCGAGAGATGGCGCCAGCCGCTCCAGTTCGTCGACGCTTTCGTTCCGGAGTTTGGAGCGGAGGGGGGGGCTGCGAAGAGGGGGTCCCGTTTCTCGCCGGCCGTAGGCCACACGCACCATTCATGCCGGCGGCGCGGGCGAGCCCGTGTGTGGGGCCGGCGACGACGGCTTTTGGCGGCTCTCCCGCAGGGCGGATCGCGAGAGGAGGGCTGGTGCGGACAGCGTCCCGCCAATGAACGGGGTCTTCTCGGCGGTGGCCCCCTCATCTGGGCCTCCTTCCCCGCCCGGTCCCTCCCGCTCGAAGCCGCTACGGAGCACAGCCAGCCACCGCCGCCCAGGCTGTGACAACTTGTTTACCGAACTCTCGTCACCTCCAGGAGGCGCGATAAGATACCACGGCCAGCGACCTCCCTCCCTCCCCCCTCCCACTGTTCGCCTTGCTTACTTCGCCCCCCCCCCCAACCACCCACCCGTTAACCCTCCCCGATTTCCCGCACCCGTTACCCCAGACTGCCAATTCCGTCGCTTCTATTGCTAGTGGTGTGCACAACAATCGCTGGACTACTACCACTACCGACGTGTTTGATTGTTCCATCGGCCAACTTGTCAGAAAATCTACTTGAACTGGAGCAGGATTAGCCGACAGGCCCAGGGTGCATCAACCACCGTCTTCGAGAATGATCGCTCTTGCCCCGATGATCAGCACCCAGATGCGACGCCAACGATGACTACAAGCTCGGAGACGGGACCACCGGCGTGCATCCCACAGCTGTCCACGCCCGCGCGCCCTCTGCAACACGAATTGTCATTTCTCCAGAAGTGTGCTCCGTGGTAGTGGTGGTGTGCGGAACTGGGCTGTCGGAACATCACTCGCGCTTGAGATTTACGCCAGCTGCTTGCCCGGGTGCAGCGTACAGAGTGATCTACACGCTCGGCGGTGTGCACCGCCGGGCTCCGCCATCACGGCAAGGGGAAAGGCGAGGCGAACGGCAGCACCGCCTCCAGCCGGAGACGACGGCGGCGGCTCGCCGTCGGCCGACCTCCTACCCTCCTCGTGTCTGCTAGTGTACCGAGGTGCTTGTACGGCGTGGTTGTCTCGTCGCGAGACGACAACGTCCCGGCGTCGCGCCCGAGTAGCGGAGCCCCCTAGGCATCCGCATTGAAGCATCACCGTCGCGAAGTGTGGGGCCGGGCGCGGCGAAGTGCGCGTACTTACATCTCCTAGCCGAGGGGCCACCTAGCCCTGGGGCCGCCGTGGCCTCGCAGCAGCGCCGAGGATATGCGCTTCGAGCACTCGGACCTATCGTGCCAGAGCGCCATGGCGTTCCATCCCTTCTTCCTGCCCGGTGCTCCCGGGGGACCGCCGGCCGCGGCTCCAGGGTCGTCGGCGGCACCCGCGACCAGAAACACGGACTTCAGCATGCACTCCATCCTGAGCCAGCCGGCGACGGCACCACCGACCACGGGTCCCTTCCTACCGCTGGAGTGTTTTTCCACCGGACCCCCTCCGCCTCCCGTCCCACCTCCTCCTCCGCATCACCTGTTTGCGGGACTCGGTCCAGGTCTGAGCCACGGGCTGAGTACCGCCGCCGCGGCACTGGCGGCTTCTGGTCTGGCGCCTCCTCCGGGACTCGCAATGCCCAGGGTACCGGGCGCCGCCATGACGCCCGAGGAGATGCTCACGGTGCAGTTCAGGCCCCCGCTATTGAGACCCGTCGAACCCGAAGACGACGGCGTCCGCGACGACCCCAAGGTGACCCTTGAGGGTATGGAACTGTGGCAGAAGTTTCATGCCTGCGGAACAGAGATGGTCGTTACCAAGTCCGGAAGGTGCGTATATTGTCCTCCTCTTTGCGCATCTATATTCTATGTCTGTATCGACGATTGATATACACAGGTACTTGCGCACCCTTCGAATTACATCCGCCTTATCGTATATACTGTCTGCATGAGAGGTCACCAAGCGTCGTCTTCTGGCGTATGGTGCTGATCTCTATAGCACCTCGTGGCAATACGTCAACTAAAGCTGTTGCCATGTTGTGGCCTAAACAGAATGCATGTCGAAGAAGTCGTCACGAAAATCGGCACACTGCAACGACTTATCTGGAGCCGACGATCGACGATACTGTCCAACTGCAGAGTTGTATTGGGCTAATATTTGTGTATCTAGTTCCAGAGGTCACGTGGTCGCTGATTTAGGGTTATTAAGGACACACTTTAAAAGTATACGCTACTCGCTATATCTTAACCTCCGAAAAGTCGTTGGCTGTGCGATGCCATATATAGGTGAAGTTTACTAAAGAGCGTTCGCCATGTCCTTGGAGGGCAAACGTGGTTTTAATCGTGAAGGCTGCCAGAGATCGTTATAAAAACATTTGATGGCGCAGGCCGCATCAACTTAGGTTGAATTTTGCGCTGTAGATCTATGCACACCAGTACAGTGTGGCCCGAACAGTTTCTTTTTTTTTAGCCGACGCATCATAATTGTTTTGGTCATGGCCCACATTCACGACATGCATCTATATTCATCGAAGCAGCGCGTCTGATATGGCCACGTTATGTATGCATTCATTATAACTGCACGATTAAGATACCCACGTCCATCTCTGTAATGCCTCCTTAAAGATCTAACGCAGTGCTAGGGCACAATATATATGGATGTATTGTCTGTCTCCACATATACATATCTTCGCAAGAAGGAAATGCGAACTATATACTTGAAATTTCGTTATTCTCTCCTGCTTCTGTATAGCTTTCTTCAGCCTTCAGGGAACGCGTCATAGTGCCGAAACAGGTCATAGTATGACGTGTATGGTGCGTTGGTATGCTCGAGGTCGCCGTGGATGGCTGCGAATTCAATAGCTTCGAGCTTGACGGCGCGTGAAAAGAACCGTGAAGTCGACGACAAAGTTTTACGGACCTATTGAGCGTGTGCCAAACTGCCTGTCCGCGCCACCTCGCTGTGCGCCATCTACCGTCGACCGCAGCGCTTTGCCGACAGAGGGTCTTGTTATTCTCTGGCATATCACTTTTCCGGTGTCGCTCAGAACACTGTTCATTACTTTGTTGCCATAAGTTTTACCGTGTGAATGTGCTTCAAATGTCTACTTTGATAGCAGAATCAAAGCTACCACGACTTGCTTTTAATGGTGTATTGGGTAGATACCTATTTGACATAACAGTTCTGCTTCTCGAGACTGGAGAACCTAACCACGCGTCTGCAGCAGAGAGGGTTGTGTTAAAAAGTGAAATGTGGTAAATATTCGTGCCCATTGGGAATAGCCAGGCCATAGAGGGACGAGTCTTGGGCGTATATAGTATATATAGCGCTGTAGTTGATGGCCGCTTACGGAAAATGTCACGAAGAGACTCATGCAAGCGCTAGCAACGTGCGCAAACGTTTGTGATTGGCGCGTGCGATATCTATCACTACATATGCTTTTAGCTTCCGTTCATGCAACAGCTCAACGTTTCTACAAGTGCGCGTACGCATGTCGACAACTGAGAAAGTGTCCCTTCCACGCAACGGCTTCTGTTCAGCGAGATCTCGAGATCGACCCCTGTTCAATCTTTTTTTTTTCCAATCTCCATCTTTCGGCAACCATTTCCCTATATAGCGCGCCGCCTCGTCACATCTCTCGTTTCAACGGTGCGCGATAAAATTTTTGATAAGGCGCGCAAGAATACTGTAAATGGCATGTTTTAAAAGTGGTATCATACTTCGTGTAGCTTCCTTCTGTTACGTTTTCATAGAACGAACCTTATTGAATTCCACTTGCACTCTCTCGCATTGCGCGCCTCTGCGCAGAACATAAATGGATGGATTTCATTTTCGCACTTCAGTGAAATAGAAAAGTATATCGTTTCGTTCATACACATTAATAAACTTATATTACAGCCAACTACGCTTAATTAGTACTTATTCGTCATAAAGGATGTAGGCAAGCAAACACGGGCACAACAGTAAAGTCAACGCAAATGGCGTTTGTGTTGTCCTGACTTCTATCTTGCGTCCGTGCTTGTGCGCTTTAAGTCTTTTATCATGAATGTGAACGTTAAGCTGTAATTATTGAGCTCGAATATTCGGTTTCGTTGAAAAGTGCAGAGAGGACGGCGCTTGAGGATATATCTGGTCCATTCATAATTAAGAGCGATGATGCATCAGTGTGTTCGACTGAAAGCGTTGGTTTTCTCGTATATAATTAGCGTGGAAATCGTTAACTATGATACGAGGTATCACGTTCTTCTTTAACGTCCGTTGACGTTAGACCGTTTTATAGCTTATCATCCTAATGACACATAATAACATCTCTGACCACTTACGAAGCGGAGAAAAGAAATATCGTTGTAAAAAAAATTCTAAAGTGTCCCCGCCAATTTTCATATTTAATTTTACGTAGAAAAGGCGAAAGAAATTTCTGAATGGAAAGCACCCTCAGCCGTTTTCCTGATTAATTTAATTGTGTTAGAAAAACAAGTGCTAGATGCGACAAAAATATATATATTCCAACGAAATAATCAGAAGAATGATAGTAGAAACAAAGGGATTGGTGGATGGATTGTGGGGGAAAAGTTGTAGGCTATAAGTACGGGACTCAGAAGAGAAGTATGAAAGCTGCTGTCCACGGTGGTATATACAAAAGCTTTGAAGTTATCGTTTAATGCATATATAGAAACGAGTAGTTGTTTTGTAATTTTTACAACTAACAGTTCACTTTAAATTACACAGCTCGATGAAAATTGTGAAAGTATATGTATAGTTCAGTAACGTGAACTTCAAGAAATGCAGAATTATCTTCCCCTTCGAAAAAAAAAAAGTTGTTTCGCGCTATTTCATGAAGTTTTCGGTACGTTTACGAAAGGCTGGTGTAGTTCAATTCACAAAAAAAAGGTATGTTAATTATGTACGTAAAGGAAAACACGACTATGGCATCATTGAGAGAAGTCCCAACTATGGCTGTCGCAGTGATCTGCTCGTTACAAAGCTGCATCGAATGAGTGTACATGTATTTATTGGTGTATATACCGCTCGTCTAAAAGCCACATCTGTGAGATATATGCCAGATATATGTCACTTTATGCTCTCAGTGACTTATATACCTATATTTTAATTTGATAGTGATTCTGCTCCTGAATGTTGTGCATTATCTGACTGCTACACGAGCCAATTAAAAGGCTCTGTAAACATAAAAAAATGAATAAACACGATCAATGAGTAGTTTGGCGTGGAATCATGACACAAGCTATAATACATTCATCATGATGGAATAAAAACAGAAGCGTGTAACGCGTTCTCTTATCTTTTATGGTTTCTATGTTATTCACTTATTTGCTACTCATAGAAACTATGCTACTCATAGAAACCCTTATATGGGAGGGTATTCCACAGGGGAGAAGCGAGGATGAGCGCTGAAAGTTAAAAAGCTAGAACTCAAACAGATATTATATAGTACAGCGTACTACAGCACAAGAAGGAAATATATACAGAGCAACATGTAAAGATATATTTGTACAGCAGTTAATACTACTGTGGGGAGTAATATAACTAATAAATAAATGCACAAGTTCACGCAACAATGCGTTGCTTTGACGCATGCGCGTTTCAGCGCGTCCAGCGTCCCTCCGTCAGGAAAAGAGGGAGACGCATTGTTGTCCGGTTAACACATCGGTGCGAAATGCAGCATGTCGCATTTCGCGCTGGTTGCCGTCGGGCCGCGCCGACGGACTCTGGTCGCGCCTGGCGTCAGGCTATATAGTGCTCACGTTTTGCTAACGTTGCGTTGCTGTGCCCAGCGTGCGCGCGGATCAAAGCTTCAATGGAGTATATTGGACCCTTCATGATGCGCTCACGGCCGTTTTGCTAGCTCTATACATATACCAAGTTTGGTGTTACGTGACGTCAATGGATGACTAAATATATGACTGGTGCAAAGAAATGAGTCCTGATACGCGTGTCATGTAAGAACATGACAACATGTCACGCTCATAACGTGCTCGCGGTCGTTTCACCAGCTCCGCATGTACTGAATTCGGTATCACGTGACGTGAATAGATGACGAAGGTAAACGACACATTCAAACATGAGAATCATGACACAGGCGTCATGTACGGCATCGTTTACCTCCACCTCGTATTGTGCTGATTTTAATGTGACATATCAACCTTTCTCATTAGTGATTCGCATATCGTCGATTGCCACTGTATACGTGAGATCTGCCTTTTTTTTTTTCCGAAGATGTGTATACCCACAACGTATCGTCCCCAGTCTATCTCCCGATTCCTTCGTATCCTGTATCGTTTTTCGCATTAATTAGCGGGGGTATAGTGTATAGTTGTGTCGTATGTGTCGGGAACACGAACCAACTAATTAGAAAAACGTCTGCAGATGTGATTTTCATTGAGGATTTTTTTTCGCTTTAGCTGCGTACGATTAAGTATGGAAAGTGGCGCGTATATTTTCGCAATTTCTTTTTTCAATGCTTTTTTTTTTTCATTTTGCCGCCTTTCCGCTTCATAAGTGGTCAGAGAGACTATTCCGGGTCATCAAGCTGATGAGCCGACCGTGAATGATGACTGATAATAGCGACATGTATACAAAATTGAGTGGAAGGCATTGCTACGCAAAGTAGATGACATGGACTCCCTTGCTATAAAACTAGCATATATGGCGATTTTGTGTGGAGCACTGTACAAGAATACGTATGTATACTGTTTTCGATACATAAACCAAGACGAAATATGCACTTCCGATCGTGCGTGCATTGGCTCGCTGTGCAAGCATGTGTGGATGATAATTTCCAAGTGAACGTTAAATCAGGCGTGGCGTTATA